CATTTAAATCTAACAAGACTTAAAAACTCCAGAACACAGGTCTAAAATTATTTCTCTGAAAAGACAGAATCAACCCAAAAAGAAAGCCTTCATATGGCCAAGTAATACAGCAAGCAATTTATGTAAAGTAAGACTAAGAACACCAAGAACTCTGTTTTGGAAATGGGGTGGAAGGGAAATGGGATCTAGAATTATGCAGTTTCTATATTTCTCAGAGTTTCTTATTAGTGAATTTCACACTGAAATTTTACTACGTAGAGGAAAATATAAAAAAGAAACACCTACAACAGGTACATAATCAGGATGAGCCACCTTTAATTATCTAATCAGAGCTGGACTGCTTTACAGGAAGATCAAATGCTAACTAAAGCCCAGTCTCCCGTATGTTCTCTGACACTAGAGGGAGCTTTTCTGCGTAGTGCAGCACCAGCACAAAACCGCTAAGGATCAACACTGTTACTTAACATCCCTTCCTGGTTCGTCAGAAGTTTGAAAGTGCTACAGGTACTTTCCGCACCACAAAATTATTCTATTTAGAGTTGGAATGAGAGAAGACCACGCTTTTTCCTTTTGTAAAGATCCCATTCCAGAATCAGTGATTCTTGTGTCAAAACTTGCCGGGCAATTTTATAGATAATGAATAAAATAGGATGAAAGTATGGGTTATTCTTCCACAGCCACCATTTCTCAGTCGTGCTGAGAGAACAAAGCTCAGCCAACATATTAAGCAAATTTGATTGAAGGGAGAATTCAGCTGGGTGCAAGGAAAGGTAATTTTGTAATTATCATCAGATCCCAACCGAAGTTTACTAACAAGACAGAAAGCCTTAAGTAGCTTTAGTCAAGTCTATCCTTTATTGTCAAGTTACTGTGCTGGTACTTAACTAAATCTAAGAGAGGAAATCTACTGAAAAACACAATTCTAAGAACTGTTGGCACTGTGCACACATTGAGAGCTGATTTACCAGAAAAGCACTACAAATAAACTAAACTATCTTCCCTTTCTGACCCTTAGGAAGACGACACTGATTGAAATGAGGCTGTGAGGTGTCATCAAATGAGCATGGGCTACAGAGCCAGACAGACCTGGCTTCTAACCCTGGTTCTGCCACTTCCAAGTATGATATCTTGGGTAAATCTACTCCAAAGCCTCAGTTTCTCGATCTACAACGTAGCAAGGATGATATCTCCACCATAAGGCAGTTGTGGGAAGTCCATACAAGAGTCTAGAATTACCCAGTTTTCATTCCCTCCTTTCCCCAAAACAAGTGGACACAGCAGCCTAAGAACGGAAATGAATGTGGGATCTGTATGGATCTCTGAGCAGATCTGGTGGAACAGAGGATGAAATATTGAAAATAACATAACATAATAAAGAACATAATAGATGGGTGAGACCAAATTATAAAGGGTCTTGGATGACAGGTACAGAGGTACAGAGCTGATTTTGTAGCAGGAGAGAGACAATGCACATTCCTGAGCAGTAGGATAATACGACGAAAATAGGGCTTCAGAAAGATGAAAACAGCCCTTTCTTGACACACATCATTGCTAATCAGGGTTCCCTTTCTTTCAGAACGTGTCACTGTCTCCCTCTCTCCAAACTGTCCTTCATCCTTCTCTTCCCTACCTCCTTCCCCACTGCAATAGATCCTAGTAAAGATTGAGTATTGCTATTTAAATAGTGTTAAATCTTCAAACATTTCAAGATTTTTTTGGTTAATCTTTGGTTGACACTATTATCTCATCTTTCTATGACAATTAAGGGAGTGGAGTGCCACAAAAATAAGAGAGTTTAAATTTAGAAAGAGCCCTCTACAGTATTCATGGGCATGGGATATAGGGGTTGTCCCAGAAAAGTTAAAGGTTTCCAATGGTGGTTGGCTTCCAAACTGGTGATCAAAATAATGAGGCTCACACCGTGGACGCTTAAATCCAGCCACCTGTCTTATAATAAGACCATTAGTCATAAATGAGAAAGTCACAGACTCCAAGCCACAATTAGAAAATCCAGGGAGTGTCCACCTCAGAGACAACAGGGGTAAATACCACTTCTTTTGTGTAAAAAGACAAGCCACCAAAGTCATCCTAAATTAGGCAACAATTCCTCACTGCATCTCAATAATTCTCCCTGGTGCTCTAAATGTTCGAGAGACTCTAGATAAATGAAAGTTTCTCCAGACTTACGTCAGAGCTTAGGACTAGAATCAGGATTTATGACTGGGAGTAAGGCAGCACACAAGGGATAGACTTTCTGCAGCATCCCAGAGAGGCAGCACAAGGCTCTTTTCAGAATTAGTTTCTCTTCCTTATCCAATTCCAAGCTGGCTTGGCATTACCAGTTACTATCTCTAAATCTGGAATGCTTGTGTGGGATTTTTTTCACAGGGGAATTATACTAGTTGTGCAAAAAAATAGAAAAGAAATACCTAAAACAAGTTTAATAATAAGTCAGCACATTGACATTCCATAACCAAATTAAAGGAGAAGGTGAAATTTTGGCTTAGCCATTATATTTTAAGTGAATAAGAAATACAACTTGACTCTTTACCAGACACTTAAAAAGTTAAATTCACTATGCAAATAAAGCTGATTTGCTTTTTACTGTTGTCATCTACTGTCACCTGGTAGATTTTCTACAAAGACTAGGACAGTGGTGATCCAGCAGGTGGCAGCACCAGACCAACAAATCACCTCTCCAGCAAAACAAAAACTTACAAACATGCAAATCACTAAATCTACTTATAAATAAATATTAAATTATAATTGGGTCTAAAATCTTCAACTTTTATATTAAAATCAAACTGTTCCTGCCACTCTGAAATTGGGTAAATCTGAGAGAAGGACACTGAGGCAGCAAAACAATTTGCAGCTTTGTGTTCATCATGATATTCAACAATTGCACATCTACTAGGCTCATGAACAAGGAGGACCAATGAGAACTCTTCACTTCAAAATGTACCCGAAAATATTGCAAGGTTATTTCAGCCAGATCTACACTGAGGACGTCAACCTTACATACCATGTGTAATCTCCAATAACACTGATGGTGTTGGATGCGTCAGCAGCCCACGTGATGGGCCGTTGATTGAGAACTTGCCGTAGTGTGAAGCGATGCTCTCCAGTATCTTCGATATTCGTGAAGTATTCAAATACACCAGTCTGATCAGCAAAATTCGGAGCTTCACTAAAATATGGGTAATCTATTCAGAACACAATAAATTCTCTGTTTAGTATCAAATCCCTACAGAATCTCTCCTCGCTAAAATTTTATGGTACATTTTTAAACACTTTTGAAGTTTTTTTGGTTTTTTTTGAGGCAGAGTCTCACTCCGTTGGCCGGGCTAGAGTGCCGTGGCGTCAGCCTAGCTCACAGCAACCTCAAACTCCTGGGCTCAAGTGATCCTTCTGCCTCAGCCTCCCGAGTAGCTGGGACTACAGGCATGTGCCACCGTGCCTGGCTAATTTTTTTCTATATATTTTGAGTTGTCCAGCTAATTTCTTTCTATTTTTAGTAGAGATGGGGTCTCGCTCTTACTCAGGCTGGTCTCGACCTCCTGAGCTCAAACGATACACTCACCTCGGCCTCCCAGAGTGCTAGGATTATAGGGGTGAGCCACTGCACCTGGCCCCGAAGTTTTTAAATAAGTAAATAATATTAATAACCAAAGTGTGGGGTTTAGGCCTAATGAAGACATACTGATTTTGGTATCATCAATATTAAATAACAAGATGATGAGGGTGACATAAAAACTCTGAATAACATTTAATCCAGGCATTTTGTGAAGAGGAAAGGTCATGATTAAATCAGACCTGGATTCAAAATCAGCTCACTCTGCCACCCTGGCAAGTTATTTAACTGCCTTGCATGTCCAGTTTCTTCATTTCCAGGTGAGTAAGAAGACAGGAGAATTAAATGAGAAAAGATAACATGTACATAAGCCAGCACCTCGAAAGGACTCAAGGGACAGTTTTATTATTTCTAATATCTGTCAAGCAAGGTTCCAAATCACTAGTCACAAGTATCAGCTGAAAGAACATTAGACAGACTTACTACATCAAATACAGAATCTACAAATTTTCTTCTGCTTCTAAACTGCAGCAAAAACCAGTCTGGGGCCTAAGCTCTCAATCCATTTTTAGTTTTACTAAATTAAAATTTAATTACAGTCTTACAATAACAAAGGCTATTGGAAAACAATTTTAGTCATATCCTACACCTGTTTCCACTTCCTGCTTTTCCTGGTGTTTACGCATTCATTACCTCATTTGAGACATTTAAGAACCCTATCAAGTAATTCCAGAGCCTGGTTTATAATTTTTACCTTTAGTCTTTATTTTGTTTTATAACCAATAAAATATTACACTTTAGACTGGAAGGTCCAGAATTGCCTCTAAGTCATCAGGGTCACAGAATATTAGTTTTGGTGCTGGCAAAAGTTCTCTCCTCTCATTAACTAGGCCCTATCCCACACACATTCCTCACCTACTGAAGGCAAGAACAGTCACCTCTGCCAACGGTGAACTGTGACACAGATTGCGAAGACACGTGTGTTTCACAATTTAATGGATTCATATGAGAGGCCATTTCAAAGAGTTGCAGGAAAACAAGCCACCAGTCTTCCCTGAGGGTCACTGTTGTCTATATTCTCCAAATAGTTGAGATGTGAGAGGACTCCAGGATCCAAAGGCCTTATATTCTAGTTAACTAGATCATTTCCTGAGAAAGGAAGCTGAGACCCTGTGGCAGTGACCCAAAGAGGTCAGAGGAGTCTCCATCTTTGGTGAAACAAGCAACTCTGTGGGCAACAGGAGGTTCAAGTCGCTCTCTAGCAATGCCAGTTTTCTCCCTATTCCTCTCCTATAGCTTCAGATTTTAGGAGCAGATAATAGAGCCACCTGACCCTGTCTGTGAGACCCATAATCCTATACACCACCATCTACTAGTCAACAAATTTTGTTGCTTACTGAGTGATCTAGGAATATAACCACAATGACCATGTTCTCTAACTTTTTTCCAAATGGTTTCCCGAAATTACCTATAACCAAAAACTATTCTGACAACTTTAGGCCAGATCTTCCTAGAACACCAGGAGAGCTCTAATAAAAAAAAACCTCTCAGGCACAAGAGTTTCCTGCAACTCTTTGAAATGGCCTCTTATATGAATCCATTAAATTGTGAAACACAAGTGTCTTCGCAATCTGTTTCACAGTTCACCGTTGGCAGAGGTGACTGTTCTTGCCTTCAGTAGGTGAGGAATGTGTGTGGGATATGGCCTAGTTAATGAGAGGAGAGAACTTTTGCCAGCACCAAGACTAGTATTCTGTGACCCTGATGACTAAGAGGCAATTCTAGACCTTCCAGTCTAAAGCGTAAGGTATATAATGAGGGTATATAATGAGTTGGATTATCCAACGATAACATAACTGCCCATAAGCACTCAGCTCACTCGGCACTGTGGAAAGACAGATAAGAATGTGTCTTAACCTACACACAATAGGAAGATTCTAATAATGGCTAAAGGGGCAACAGCAAAGTTGCAAAGCTTGTTTCACCAAAAACAATTCAGAATTACAACTTTCACTCTGACAATGACCTCTACATTTTTTCTGACATTGAAAAATACAGGGTCCTCAAATTGAGATTTACTGTGAAGTAATTTAAAAATTAGGTCTCCTTTTACCACAAAGAGATTTGAGAGCTAAATAAACCTGCTTCTGACAGCCACTTCATCGTGTACCCAGTTTGACAGGTAGAAACAGACTCACTACTGCTGAAGATTGAGACCAAGTTACGTTTTAGTGAAAAATACTAACCAACGTTGAAATCATCCTGATAGGTACTCGGGAAGGGCTGGGATTTCGGGGGAAGTGGGTAGCTGCCTTTGCGACCTGTGGTAAGAGTGGTGAGCGTGAACAGCTCGTCTTCTTGCAATTCCAGGGTGAAACTACCTTCGCTGTCAAGGAGCTGAAAAAGAAGACACCGCTGTATTAAAGGCTAGGTGCTGTGGATCTTCCCATTGGGGCAAAATAGCTTTTAAAAAAATAAGCTTAAAGAAAAACCCAACTCATTTCTGTTAGAACTTTCTAAACACTTGTGAAAGATACACCAATACCAAGGCCCTTAGAATCTTTTTTCTCAAGTATTTTAAAGTCTTTATAAAATTACACTTTATAGAAAGGATTTTTAAAGAATTATACTTCATGAGAAAAAGGACTGGATGATCCCCAAGTCTTTTGCTATTAGTCTATTCTTTTCCATCACACTTTAAGCTCTTTAAAGCTTATATATGTTAAACACACGCAACAAGAGACCTGCTTATTTCTATATTAGACTTTACTAAGATAGAAAAATCCATAAAATCTCACTGTTGACTCAGCTGTTAATCACAGAAATTCTTTTACAATTAAGAAAGAAACATCTGCTCATCACATGTTCAATATATATTTCAATTAGCTAGTTAGGTTTATGTCACATTTATGATGTTGGTAACTTAATCTCTTTAAGCTACAATCTCATTTACAAAATGAGGAAAAAAATACATACCTAATAGAGCTGTTGTGAAGATTAAACCACATAATGTTTATAAAGTGCTTAACTCAGTGTGTGACCAATGGGAAACACTTCCTATATCATAATTGTTCTATGCTAAATGTAGACCTCTGAAGACACCGGGATCCCTCACAGAATCAATGGAGACATTAAATTTATGCCTACTTTATGAAACTTTCAGCAAGTTTTTTTCTACTTTGAATTAAAGGAGTTATGATCTTTGTTTTAATAGAAAATTGATGGTCAGTTCTATGAAATACCTGATGCTATATTCTGGTTCAGGAACAACCTCAAATGATTAGTATTGTTCCTATGGGCAAAATCAATTTTATTATGCTATTTCCAGCAATATGTTATACAAAAAACAGAAACTGTTCTTTTTTTAGAACTTAATATTCTATCATTGATAGTGACTAGTTGATTATCATAACATTAATAATTACCAGAAAAAGTAGCAGATTTGTGTCAATAAGGTGAAGTAATTGTGCTTACTTGCACCATTCATTCTTTGAAACCCTTCCTGAGAAGCCACCATGGTTAGCTAAGACCTACAATAGGCACCTGGGATATAAAGATAAATAAGGCAGGGCCCCAATCCTCAATGTAGTCGGACACCTGTTTAACTACGTAAATACATAGGTAACTAGGTAAACACATAGTCACATAGGCTATGAGCTAAGACTGGTGGGGAAAGATTCAGAGGAAGTGACACTTGAGCAGGATCTCCTAAGATGACAAAGATATGAGGAGAAGCCATTCCAGGAGAAAGAAAAAGCTCATGCAAAGTCACCAAAGTAAATGAACAGTAACACCATGCTTTGAAAAATGTAAGAAGTTTAATCTGTGAAGAGAGGCCAGTTCAGTAGGACATGCGTCGAAGAAGAAAACAGTCTTCCACCTCATGAGGGGAGATGAAGGCCATGTGTTATCCTAAGGAATGCAAACTTCTAGGAATAATCACTGAGATGCTCTGAGCATGGTGTTGACAAAAATCAGACCTGCACTGGAGACATACCACTGTGGTAGCAGTGTGGTGGATGGCCTAGAGAGTCAGGCTGGGGGCTGGAAAAGCAGGAGGTAGTTTCTGAAATCCAGGAAAGAGTCAATGAGGAACTGAAACAAGCAGTAGCAGTGGGAAAGGAGAATAAGCAGTGGGAAAGAAAGACATGTGAATGACAGAACTGTCTATATTTGACCAATGGTGGGATATAGAGGATGAATGGGAAAGACAGAGTCTTCAATGAGACTTAAATTTCTGACTTGTGCAGCCAGGTGATGGTGGCACCATTTGCCAATACAAACTAAGTATCCAAGAATAAAATATGTCTATAATATACACACAAACTTCTGTACTGCTTTGAAGGGGATTTATATTTAAAAAAAAAAACTGTTGGGGATAACTTTATCTCTACTTTGCTTCAGCCATAAAAAAATAAAGTTAAAAATTCTTAATTCATTAATCAAATTTCTTTTCCCTTTTACTGTCTTACTGTTGCAATGCCCAAAATATAGGAATTTATTTTAAAACTACCCATAGAGAATCCAGTTGCTTAAAAAGAGATCTTTCAGATGGTTTTCCAAGTTTGGTATACCACACCTGTAGCTCCTGAATTTCACTCTGGAAAGAAAAGACAAAAAAAAAGCATGTCTGAATGATTCACCAAATCCTCTTTGAGGATTTCCAAAATCAGTACCAGCAAGAATAGCCAATGACAATGTACATTCTATTTCTATTTACCAAAAGACCCACCTCAAATTTTAAATATTAACTTTTTTGAAAATAGGAAAACACTGTTCAAGCAAATACTTTATTTTCTATAAACACTAAAGAATTTTGGCAAATATTTAAAAAGTCTTTGCTTCAAAAATACTTATTATTGTACCTGTGTAAAAAGCTTAAGAATTCTCTGGTATTAAAAAACAATCCTTCTGCCATTCATAATCAAAAAGGGCACTGTATTTTCTCAATTCAAATCTAACGATCAATAGAAATAGCAAGAATCTGGTGTCTTTAAAAATTTTTTTGGTATATAGTACTGTTAAAGATAGTGCTTGAAAGCTCCCTAGACCATACAATGTTTCCATTGCCAAGAATAACTCTCTTCCCTGTGAATGTTCCTCAAAGATACAGAGAGCTTTACCTCCTATTGGCTTCCGTCCCATTTTACTAAAGCCAATCAGGAGACAGAAGACACCAGGGCCTTTGTCTATTCATATGAAAACTATTAATAGTTCATAATATAAGACTCCACATAAGAACTGCTGGCCTGTGATAGAATACATAATACACGTATTTACTTACAAAAGATCCTTTAAGAACAAAGGTAGCAAATTGTCGTGACACATTGAAATAAGGAAGAAATGGCCGTATACACACAGAATGTTTATGACTCTGAAAAAAAAAAATCACATAAGTTATACAAATGATGTACAAGCTATGTTAGGGGAAAAAAAGTTAAATAATTAATGTCCCAAGATTAACAGAAATAGTAAATATTAGGTAACAAACAAGAGTTTATTTCAAATTTGAAAAGATTCTTTAATAACCTTTATTGAATATGTATTGTATGTGCCTACTCAAAGCAAAGCTCAATGGCATTTCAACTGAATCAAATTTTGAATTCACAGCTAAACTCCAGATACATTTATGGCACATACCGATTAATTTTTGTTACAATTGTTTTCTAAGGATCCTTTCCCTCCCAGGGAAAACTACTGCTTTCCTGTTTGTCTCATTTTCTGTCCTGAGAACTTGACTTGACTTTCTGCCTGTCGGGGGCATATGAGCTATTAGTTTGTGCACGCAGCAGCCAGTTTCAAGTTGGGGGCCCCAAGAACATGGCCAGACAAAAATGTTGGTTGCACCCCATTTGTGGCTAGCATATCAACTGTTACCAGCTCTGGGGGGAGAAAGGAGTGAAGAGGTTATCTGTGTCTATCTTTCTTTTGCCTATCTTTGGGAGTAGTTCTAGATCTTATGAGGGCTGTATCTTTTTATGTTCTCTTTTGAATATTTCTCTTTCAGCCATGGTAGATCATAAAAGGCTTATTGATTCTGGTTTTGAGAAACCTGATAGATACATTTAGTTTAAAAAGGAGTTCAATACGGCCAGGAACATTTATTGTTTGTCCTGGTTGAAAAAAAAATACACACACACACACACACACACACACACACACACATATATACATATATAATCAGATATAGATAAATAGACAGATAGATAGATAGATAATTTTTTTAAGGCCTCTCTATTGTCTCTTAGATCCTGCTTTTCCCATGGGAACTTCTCAGTCGACTGAAACCTCTCTCAAAGCCCCGATGACTGCATGTTCTAACAACTCTGTCCACTTCCTTCTTGTTAGAACTTCACTGACCTCTTTGGGAAGCTTAAGATCTCCTCAAACTGGCACCTCTAAGCCCTCTTCTTTCCATGTGCTTCTGCTCCTCCTCCCTCATTTTGCCTTTGCTCTCCCATTCAATTCCCCTGAATCCTTGATATGCCCCCCTTCAAGCCCCTACCTCCTCCCATCCCCCTGCCCCCGCTGCCAGACCTTGTCTCTTCCCACTCCAGCTCCTCGATCACTTGAACTCTAGGTCCCCTGCTCTCAACTGACTCAAGGTCCCCCAGAAGCAACTGCCTTAGGCTGAAAAAGGAAAAAGCCACAGCCTCCATAAGATTACACATCAGGGGAATGGAAGATCCTGAAGGTCTTCTCCACAAATATTGGCAAACAAGGAACTTTAATTTGTCCCATTTGCCAGAAACACCAATTGGAGAAAAGATTAGAGCTAACTATTTTATGTAAATCAGCAAGTTATGTTGCTATGTTTTACTGACTCACGGCTAAAATTTTTAATTGAAAGCTATAAGATCTTGACATCTGTCTGTATAAGGTGTTCAGTTTTGTATTGTTATTTTTCCAATACTAAAGAGATGAGCTAATCCAATAGCAACAACAAAAACTTACCATTGTTTCAACGATGATGGTGAGGTTGCCTAAGCCATCAGTCAGAGCTACATAGCTTCCTCCTTTCTCTAAATGGCCAACTGTCTTCAGGTAATACCAACCTGGTTGAGTAAACTGAGTGGTATGAGCTATAGAAAAGCAGAGAAAGATCCAAGTAGGATAAAAATGGTAATAGGGTTTCTTCAACAGCAACATGAAGCTGTATTACCAATTTGAGTCTGATTGATTCTAACAAGCTATTTTCTATTTTAGAGGGAAATACCTGTCAACTTCATGTTTTAATTTTTAAATAATTAATCCAGTTAAGCACTACAACTGCAGGAAGATTCTTGGGATGACGGGTAAAAATAAATGAACCTGTCAGTTCAAGATCAGTCTGATTTTTCAAGAACAAAATAAAGTTCGTGCCTCCTAACCTTTGTTCATCTCTATTTAACCCAATCTAATATAGCTACCAAAAAAAGAGGTTAAAAAAAGTTAATAATGCATTTCAAAAAGTAAGTTTTATGGTTTCAGACAAATTTATTTCTGTAACATATATATTTATTGGTCACCTCTAAGCTGGTCCTGAAAAGATACTAAGCAATATTCCACATCCTAACCCCCCACACAAGTCACAAAATTGAAAGAGTACATTAGCTCATCTAGATAATATGGGATGAACAATTTCAACATTTAAGGGGTTAACCAAACAAGACATACAAATCCAGCTTAATTTTTCCATATTTTTGGGAGAACAATTTAAGAAGTTTA